ATGCCCTACGGAAACCAGTCCCACAATTAATTTTGAAAATTCAACTAATTTTTTTTTTAGTACCGTATATCTTTTGGACACATATTAAGATATTTTGTTTGACTTTTTGATTTTTTTATTATATGAGTCTGGGCTCAAAAGCTTGGTTTGGTAAGGACTTTTAACTTTTTGGCTTTTTTGATTTTTTTGTGAGAGAAGAGTATAATGATTATGGGATTGGATGGAATGTTTTGTCTGTTGTGACTCATGAGCCTATTCTGTCTTTTATGGCTCATTGAGCCAAAAAAGCCCAATGAGCCCTTGTCAAACCAACCCATGTAAGGCATAAAATGAAAATGAGTGTAATAAAGAATGTATAATACTTTTAATCTTCCTTTTCATTTTAACAAAACTCAAAAAAAAAAAAAAAAAAAAGATTTGACTTTTATAACAAAATAAATCCTAAATTTTTAATTTTTCCAATTTAAATCATAATTTTTTTATTTGTTTTTAATCTAAATCATCGACCTATTTTCGTTAAGTAAAAAATCGACAAAAAAATAATATTTTAATTATTAAACTCAATCATAAAAGGTATTTTAGATATTTTATGTATATCTATATTGAGTTTAATGTTTAAAATATTATTCTTCGATCAGTTTTTACTTAACCAAAATAGATGAATAAATTATATTAAAAATAAATCAAAATATTAGAATTTAAATTGACAAAATTAAAAAAATAAATATTTATTTTGTTAAAAAGTCAAATCTTAAATTTTTTTTTTCCCAAAAAATTTCATTAAAGATATTACAAAGATTCAAAATCATATTTAAAAACTCAAAATCAAACATAACTAATTTTTAAAAATTAGAAAATACCTTAAAGCTCCGTTTGGGAAGCCAATCTTGAGGCTTTCTTGGCTATTTTAGTCACAAAAATAAAATAGATTTTTTAGTCTAATAAGACAAAATATCACATCTAACCCATAATCATTACCTTTCTTCTCTCACAAAAAAGTCAAAAAAGTTAAAAAAACTAAAAAGCCTTTCCAAATCAGACTTTTTAATCCCAGGTCAAAATAGTCAAAAAAGCCAAAAAATCAACCCAGTTTCCAAACAAAGCCTTAGGTTTCGTTTGGGAACAGGTTAATTTAGTAACTTTTTGACTATTTGGCTAAAAAGGTAGCTAAAAAAAACTTGTATGTTTGGGATGATTTTTTGGCTAATTACGAAAAGCTGTACAAAAAGTAGAGAGAGGCCGTAATCTTTGACTTTTTGATATGAATTATTGACTTTTTAACTAATTTAATAATTTTTTAACTAATTGACTAAAACAGTTAATCCCCAAACGGGGCCTTAATATAATCATGCGATATTCCAATAGGTGTCCAAGCATGGATTATGTCGCCCGCCTTATTTTGGGCAATAATGCTTGAGATCACTAAAAGTGGTGCTCTAAAAGTACCACTAGTGATGTGGTAGTGGATGGGATCCACTGCTTGTGTCTTGTGTTTTTTTTTTTTTTTTGTTAAAGTGCTTGCCAACTCATTAGTGGTACTTTAGAGCACCACTTTTAATGGGATGTATCATTATCCTATTTTGGGTGATTTGTCGCCCGCGTTATTATACTCTTCATAGTTTGGAAAGTAACCTACCAATTTCATTTTATTTACTTTATTTTTATCAAATTTTATTTTACTTTTTGGAGCAAACTGGCATTCCATTTGGAAATTAACCTACCAATTTCATTTTATTTATTTTATTATCATTAAATTTTTTTTTTATATTTTTTTGGAGCAAAGTGACATTCCACTTTACATCTAGGACTTTGCTATGAATGGATCATGCGGCTCATCTATTTTTTATTTTATTTTTTTTATTTTTTATTTTTTGTCAAAGATAGAATATTATATTAGTAAAATTAGATTACCACTTAAAGTGACAATCGTTGATCAACTTAAATCTCAAACCTTCACTCACCGCACTCTAAGGCACAACCACATGCTACTTGACCAGAGGCCTCCGCAAGCTCATCTTATTCTATTCTCTCTCTTTTATTAATGTAATTAAAAATTTGTTAAAAAGCTTATAGTCTATTATCTTGTATCTATTTGATTAAAATGATTTATATTAGAGAAAATATAAGAAAACTGCAAAATAGTATTGGCAAAACTATGGTCAGGTTTGATTTGATTTTCAAATTTATTTTCAAAAAAGTAAAAAATTAATTTAGTGAAAAAATTAAATAAATCAAAACACTTATTATTTTTGTAAAAAAAAGAAAAAAAAAAGGAGTAACGTAACGATAAAATACAAGAGTGCTAGGTACATTTAACCATATAAAATCACATATTTTGGGGAATAAAAAGAGACCAAATGTATAGGCTAGGAATGGCAACGGGCCGGGCCGAGGCTAGGGATCCCCCTCCCCGTCCCTGATCCCCAAAGGTAATCCCCGTTCCCGCCCCCGATCCCCGGCGGGGAACCCACCACTCCCCCCGTCCCCGCCCCCCAACGGGGATCGGGTTTCCCTGACCCCGAAATATCCCCGAGCCTCTTTTTTTTTTTAATTTTGTTCAACACAACGCAACATAGATCTGAAATAAAAATAAAAATTAAAGATCTGCTTTGTAACCAGTTCAAAAAATAAATAAATATTAATCAGTATGTTTCATCATCATCAACATTAAAAAAATAATAATAATAAAAAATAAAATCTGAAATTGAAGATAAGAGGACTGAGACGCAGATCTAAAATTGAAGAGTAGAGGGTTGAAAAACATATCTGCAAAAACAAATAAAAACACTTCATCAATTCCAAATTCATGAAAATGACAACAAACACTAAATAAATTCATGTCCAATCCAATATTTTTAAATGCGTAAATCACAGAAAAACAGGTTGATCAGTGCAAACTGGGCAGATTTGAGTTCTGGGCATTTCATCAAAAAAAAAATGACAGAAAAAAAAAAGAAAATGACAGCAAACACACCATCAGAAGGATTATAATAATAATACAAATGTAAGCCAATTCAACCAAGTTTTTGTAATAGAATGTTGTACCGGAAAATGCCTAATAGTGAAGCATGGAGTGTTCAACCAAAGCCCAATCGCAGTTCGCAGATCGCAGTTTAAGTCGTTACAGGTCTCAGTTCTGGCTTGATCATTGCAGATCGGCGGTGATGGGAGGAGGGAGAGAAGGACAGCAAAGGAAAAGGGAGAGGAAGACAGCGGAGGGAGGAGGAAGAGGAGGATATCGAAGGGAGGGAGTCTGCGATGATGAGAGGGTTTTAGAGAGAGAGAGACCTAGAGAGAGAAGATGGAGAGGCGTGTGTAACGGCTGTGTGTGTGTTGTGTGAGTGGTCAGCCAAAACCCTACACACACACTAATATATTATATATAACCCGGGGCAAAATAGTATATTCAATTCGGGGGGGCAATCGGGCCAGGGATCGGGGCTGAGACTGAAACATGTATCCCCGTCCCCAGCCCGATGATGTTCGGAGATTTAATTTTTAATACCATTCCCGGCCCGTCGAGAGTATTATTCAAAAAATAACTGCTTAATTCAGGATCGGGTTCCTGTCGGACTGAATTCCGATTGCCATCTCTAGTATAGGCCATATGGAGGGCTGCATAAGTGAAAATGCAACTTGCCAAGTTCTGGGCGAAGTTCTGGTGGGGAAGTTATAAAACACCATGATATTTGCATAAAATTAAAATATAAAAGAAAGAGTACTACAAAAAAATTGATGTGCAACTCAAATTTATCTTAAACATTATGTAAGTCATTTTTAAAATAAATCTAAATTTTGTATTTTTTTTTATTTAGCATTGTTGGCAAAAGAAATAAATAAAAAATAATTAATCCGATTTAAGAGTAAGAATAAGTATTCATAGACTCACTATTGAAGAAAACACATGTCAGTGGATTGATCAAAAAAATAATTTTAAAATAATAAAATATTATTAATTTAAAAATAATTATTCAAATATCAAGTTAAATGAAATTTTTCCCTTATTTTTTTGCCAAGTCAACACAAAGACAAAAATCCAACATCTATATTTCAAATAACATTGCTTATTTTCATTTTTTAAAAAATACTTTTTAGGAAATACACCTAACATAAATACACCTAAAAAGTAAAAAAATTGTAAAAAAAATCTTTTAAAAATTCACTAAATACCAAAAATATAAAAAAATACAAGAATTCAATATATTTTTTATATTTTTATGTATTTATTAATTTTTTAAAATATTTTTTTACTTTTTAGATATATCTAAGTAAGGTATATTTAAAAAAATAAAAAAAAATATTTAAAATATTCACTAAAAATAAAAAATTAAAAAATTAAAAAATTCAATTTTCAAAAAATTTAATTCAGAAAACGCAAATCAAAACTTTGTTTGAAATATAGCTGTCAAATGATGGGACAGTAAATGACCAAAATGCCCGTGTGTATAGCTGCCGTTGATTTTTCAAAATTGAAAGGACAAAAGAGTCATTTTACCCTCTGTCCATTACACCGTACATCACGTGGGAAGTGATGAGCAACAGCAGTGCTTTTTGGATTTTTTTTTCTCAAGAGGGTACAATAATAGAGCAAGGATCTTCTAGGGTGATTTTTTTTTAAAGTTTCTTAGAGTACTACATTGTGTGATTGAAATTTACTGGCAAGTCACATCAGACTTGCCAGTAAATCTCAACCACACAATATAGTACTGTAGAAAATTTTAGAAAAATTTCACTCTAGAAGATCCTTGGTAATAATAATAGCCTGGATTTCCGTTTGCCAAACAATGCCTATATAGTTAGGCCTAGTTTGGGAAGACTAAATAAGTGCACTTTTTGACTTTTTTTGTATTATGTGTAGAAAAAGTAGAGAGGAGATGTTGATTGATGTGACCCAAAAAAGATAAAAAGATGAAATAAGTGCACTTTTTTGGCAGTAGCCAAACTTGGCCTTAATGTCACCCATCCCTCGTAGTTATTTCCATTCAAATCAAAAGCACACAACCAAAGCTACTAGCTACTACCCACGAAAACATGAAGCAAACACCCCATGTAGCCCTTCTACCGAGTCCAGGGATGGGTCACCTCATCCCACTCGTCGAGTTCGCCAAGCAACTCGTTCGCCACCACCCCTTCTCCGCCACTTTCATCATCCCCACCATCGGACCACTGTCCTCAGCCCAAACATCGGTCCTCAAATCCCTCTCCGAACCCATAAGCCACCTCTTTCTTCCTCCAATAACCTTCGACGATCACCACCACCTCGACCCTGTAACCCAAATTGCCCTCACAATGACTCGCTCTCTCCCTTCAATTCGCGACGTTTTCGAGTCACTTATTGCCACAACCAATTTAGTCGCTTTCGTGGTTGATCCTTTGGGCACCGACGCATTTGACGTAGCAAAACAGTTTTGTATCCCCTCGTACCTGTTGTCTACCTCACCCGCCATGACTTTGTCTTGGTGCTTCCTTTTTCCAAAAATTCAAGATGAGATGGATCGGATTCAGATGGCTTGTGACAAGTACATAGACCTTCTTGAACCGGTCCAAATCCCGGGTTGTGTACCGGTTCGGGTTACAGACCTCATGGTTCACCCTGCTCGAGATGGCCACAGTGAGATCTATAAATGGATTCTTCACCATTGCAGACGGTTCAGTCTTGCTGATGGTATAATCCTAAACAGCTTCGTAGACTTGGAACCGGGACCCATTAAGGCTTTGCAAGGAAATGAACCAGGAAACCCACCTGTTTATCCGATTGGACCGATCGTCGGAGCCGGTTCAAGTAGTTCGCTTGAGCGGCCAGAGTGTTTAAAATGGTTGGACAATCAGCCACGTGGATCGGTGCTATTTGTCTCTTTTGGAAGTGGTGGGACCCTCTCAAATGACCAACTCAATGAGCTAGCCCTAGGGTTGGAAATGAGTGGTCAAAGGTTTTTATGGGTTGTAAAAATTCCAGATGATAGAAGTGCAAATGCTTCATATTTGAGTGTCCAAGACCAAGATGACGCTATTGGTTTCTTGCCAAAAGGGTTCATGGAGAGGACCAAAGAGCGAGCTCTATTCATCTTCTCTTGGGCTCCACAAGTCGAGGTCTTAAGCCACAGTTCGACCGGTGGATTTGTGACTCATTGTGGTTGGAACTCAATTTTGGAAAGTGTTGTCAATGGCGTACCATTGATTGCTTGGCCACTCTTTGCTGAGCAAAAGATGAATGCAGTGATGCTAAGTGAGGGACTGAAAGTGGCATTGAGACCAAACATGAACCAAAATGGGATTGTGGGCAGAGAAGAGATTGCTGGAACAGTGAAGGCTCTAATGGAGGGAGATGAAGGAAAGATGCTTAGAAATCGTATGTTAGAGTTGAAGGAAGCTGCTCTAAAGGCTCTAAGCAAAGATGGGTCTTCCACAAAATCACTCTCTGAGTTAGCACATAAGTGGAAGAGTAATTCTTATATAAAAATGAACACAAAATACATGTAAATGTATAAAAATAAGTAAATTAAGATTTGCTGATAGATTCACTTTTAACAAATGTTATTTATTCCTATATATTTTATGTCTAATTCTATGATTCGTATGTATTTTTATCTCTAATTTTGTGAATCGTTTGTATGTTAATTAGACTTACTATTGAAAGAGTCTGAGGAAAGATGAGTGAATACTAAACTTTTGGAATTAATTTTTTCAGTATCCGTTTAGCTCTTTCTAAGTACTATTTTAAGATTTGTGATTTAAGTTTGCATGCAAAAATTGTGTGCTCCAAGATAGCAATTGTTGGTGTAATTACCATCAGAAAATAAATAAAGGGCCAAAAATATATTTATGGTCCGAAAATATTTACCATGAAAAGACACCAAATTTAGGGTTGGTTTGGGATGTCCTAAAAAAGTGCATTTTTTGACTTATTGGTGGGTTTGAGTTGGCTTTGGGTTGGGTTTGATGTGATGTGTTAGAGAGGTGATGTGATTTAAATAAGATGATGTGACTAAAATAAGATAGTGACTTTTTGACTTTTTGGCTTATTTAGTACATGCCAAACTAGCCCTTAATGTAGTTTGGCTAACTTAGTTTACGTCCAAGAATCATTTCTCTTTGTCTATTAGGGATTGTTTGGAATGACTTAAATAAGTATATTTTTTATCTTTTTATGAAAAGATGTGTAGAAAAATAAAAAGGTGATGTGATGAAAAAAATATAAAAAGATAAAAAGATGAATTATTTAAAGTATGCCAAACTTAACTTAAATCATATGATTACACATCATCCACACTTACTAAAATAATAGTGTTATACACAAAATATATCCAAATAAAAGATTTATAAATTGCTGGTTGATGGGCGGTAATATCACTTTCTTTAAAAAGATTCAACTCCTCTCCGGCTAATTAATCTTTCAAATTATCCGGTGTAATAAACCATCTTTGACCTATCCCTCTCAGAATATAACAGTCCAACTATACATCTTATTAGTTAAACCATCTCTACACGAGTTGTTAAACCCAAAATGACGAAGTCATATTGAGGAGAGACTCATTCCTTGATCACTGCCCCCAGCTTTTTCTCTGCAAAGGCTCCAGAAGATATATTACGCCTGTGTTTGGCAAGTGGGTTTGTAAGTTTTTTTTGGTTATTTTAGCCACAAAAAATAAAATAGGTTATTTTAGCCATAACAAACAAAATATCACATCCAACCCATAATCATTACATTCTTCTCTCACAAAAAAATTCAAAAAAGTCAAAAAGTCAAAAAATCCTTCCCAAACTAAACTTTTAAGCCCAAGTTAAAATAGCCAAAACAAACCAAAAAGCCAACCCACTTCTATACGTGTAAATTCATGAAGTCGAGATCCCCAAATCACTCTGACTTTACACCATTTATTTACTATATAATATGAAATGCAACCAACGCAGTGTTTCGAAAAGTTAGTAAAAAGTTGACTTTTGATTTTTTATCAAATTTTTTAATTTTTTGAAAAGTGATTTGAAAAGTTGATAAAAAGTTAACTTTTTTACTTTTTAATTAAATATTTATTTATGGTGTCAAATCAAATTAAAATAACTAAAATATTCTTACCTAATATAAGAAATTTATTTTTTTATTTTTTTGTCATAAGATCTAATTTATAATTTCACACTTACCTTTTTTATCCTTCCTAAACCAAATTTATTACGCTTTTAGAAAATGATAAAAAAAGGTGGCTTTTTATGCCCTTCCCAAAACGGCACATTGTTCTGGCCGACTCTCCCTCTTAGATATACATATGTAAGTGATGAAACTGCTAGCTGTACTATCCTGAATTATCAAAATATAATAATTCATGATTTAAAAATTTCAATGATGAATATTTTCGTATATATATATATATATATAATATAAATTTGGACTTTTGTTGAGAATTTGTTGGGCAATTTAATAATTCTGAGAAAATAGTGGACATTTTAAAAAAAAAAAAAAAAAAGCAAATTCGAGACAAATTTGAGCCAAAAAATTTGAGGCCTCAATCATTTTTGTATCAAAATATAATAATTCATGATTTAAAAATTTCAATGATGAATATTTTCATATATATATATATAATATAAATTTGGACTTTTGTTGAGAATTTGTTGGGCAATTTAATAATTCTGAGAAAATAGTGGACATTTTCACAAGTTTTAAATATTTACAATATATTTGTGGAGGGCTTCTCTACATAATGTTAAACTTAGTAAAATCCCAATCATATAAGGTATTATTGATTTTAATATAAATGGATAAAATAGGTAGCTATGTATTTAGACCAAACTATGCGTATTGGGTTTGGTATTAAAATTAAATGTAATAGGAAGTTAATTGAATGAGTTGATGAGTGAAAAGTAATTATGGGATAGTATATTGGTGTTTGGTAGGGAGTTTGGCTTCTCTTAAGTTGACATTTCAACTTCAGACTTTGAGTTTGGTAGGTCTATTTTGAAATTAATTTCGATGATTTGAACTATTTAGGCCAAATTTAACATCTACTAAATAATACAAAAAGTCAAAAAGTTACTATCCTATTTAAGTCAATTATCTTATTTAAATCACATCACCTCTCTAACACATCACATTAAACCCAACCCAAACCCAACCCATATAAGCCAATAAGTCAAAAAGCACATTTTTTTAGAACATCCCAAACTAACCCTTATTTTTTTAGACTCGTTATTCTATACAAAAATAAAGATTATTGGACATTGGTGACTACTATATGTTTAAATCATATTTGTTTTAAAAAAAATAGACGACAAATATAATTTTAAGAATAACTATCAATTTTTTATAATACAAATTTGATTCACATATAGCTACAGACATTTGACCATATTGATTTTTTGAATGAACATTTTATTTAACAAGTCTAAAAAAATGAATGATTTAGATTATGGAAATGAGAGTTATAATAAATTCCACAACTCTCTTAAATTGTCTTCTATTAACATGTGAATATAAGAGCAGTATAACCTCATAATATTGGAATAGTTTTGTAAGGGGGAATTTATATGTGGGTATAAGCAGTGACTAATAGGTGTTTTGTCCAATGTATTATCGGAGAAAGTGGAGTGTCGTGAGTTTTTGTATTGGTATGTCATAAATTTTTTGGTGGAGAGTTTAGGCCTCGTTTCGGAACCTTTATTTTAGTTAAAAAGTTATTAAATTAATTAAAAAGTCAATAATTCATATCAAAAAGTCAAAGATTCTCTTCTTTTTTATTTTTTACACATCTTTTTATAAAAAGTCAAAAAGTCATCCCAACCATACTAGCTTTTTTTAACTCATATTTTAGTCAAAAAGTCAAAAAGTTACTAAATTAGCCTGTTCCCAAACGAGGCCTAGGGAGCAAGGTGACTATGCCTTCATTTGGCAATTTAGGTTGGATGGGAGATTATTTTAGTTACAAAAAAGGTAGTATAAGTTTTTTAACTTAGTAAGATAAAATGTTACATTCAACCCATAATTGTTACATTTTTTCTTTCAAAAAAAATCAAAAAAGTCAAAAGTCTATCCCAAACGAGGCTTTTTAAGCCCAAGCTAAGAAGTCAAAAAGTCAATCCACTTCCCAAATAAGCTCTATGGTTCGATATCAAAATAAATAATGATTAAATTATTAATTATAACTTTATAAAATTTAAAATTAAATTCTATTATGAAAATTTTAAAATCAAATTAAATTGAACTATAAAAGCGTGTTTGGATTTGATTTAAAACCATGATTTTCATGAACTTCGTCATCAATCACAACATAATCATCAAATATATCATTATTGTATAAATATAATTATTTAAATGATGAAATAACAATAAATCTTAAATAGTGATCTTATAAACTATTTGATCTTTTTTTTTTATTTATTTTTTCTTATGAACCTAAATGTCTCATTCTAGTGTGAATTACATAAAGAACCAACGTGAGTTTTTTCATAATATTGAAATTACTAAACGTAACACTTCAAAAAAACTTTCTAGTGTATTTTTTTCTAAACGTAACACTCCAATATAATACTAAAAAAATCTAACACTCCAATGTAACACACTAAAAAAAAAAGTGTTTTTTTTCCCAAATGTAATCAATGTAACACACAAAAACTTCTTACTATATTTTTTCTAAACATAACACTCAAATATAACACACTAAAAAACTCCTTAGTACATTTTTCTCAAATGTAATGTAACATTCTAAACAAATCCTTTAGTGTACTTTTTTCATACGTAACATTTCAATCAATGTAATATACAAAAATTTCTTAATGTACTTTTTTCAAACGTAGCACTCCAATATAACACACTAAAAAATTTCTTTAGTGTATTTTTCCATACGTAACATTTCAATCAATGTAATATATAAAAATTTCTTAATGTACTTTTTTCAAACGTAACACTTCAATATAATACACTAAAAAATTTCTTAGTGTACTTTTTTTAAACGTAATAACATAACATTCCAAAAAAACTCCTTAGTGTAATTTTTTTTTCCCAAACGTAATACTCTAATCTATGTAACACACAAAAACTCCTTAGTTTACTTTTCTCAAATGTAGCACTCTAATGTAACACCGAAAAACCACACCACCAGAAATGTAAATTTCCACACTTGACAACCAACACTTCACTCACCAATTTTTCTAAAAAGAATATTTTACATCTCACCTTTCTATTCCCAACCCAAAAATGAATTAGAAAAATAAAAAAATAAATTATAAGAAAACATTCGCTTAAACTTAAATAGTACCAAATCAAATAAATACGGCTTTTCAAAATAAAAAGGGCTAATTGTTTCATAAGAAAAATTATAAGACTAAATGGATTAATATTCTCCTATATAAAACTTATGGATAAATTATCCTTATTTAAATAATTATTTAGGACTAATTCTATTATCATACATGAACACATTTGTAACTAAAGAATTATCAATTTATGAATACATATAGGCAAGGGCGACGACCCAGGAGTGTGATGAGGTCTCATACACCCACCATGCTGTCATAAAGTTGGAAATTTTTTTTATTTATTTTTTATTTTTTGGTTTTAGTGAATTATACCGATGGTCCTTGTATTTTATTCCTTATGTTATTTT